TCAAGGCTTTATGCTGGTTTTTTACACACCACATGTATGAACATGATGGGGTTTTAATACCCAGAAAGGACTCATAGGGACTTTTCCCATAAGCCTTAAAGAAGGAAAATCCCAGGTTTCCATCCAGAGACAGTTTAAAGGCTTTTGCTTTCCCACTCAGGACAGGTTGCTGGTAACACAAACTATAAACCCCAAATTATACCAAGCCAGAGCAGCGCTAACAGCAAGTGAATGACTGCATGAGAGCAGGATTAAATGCAAGTGAATAAACACAATTCCAGTTGCCCTGGAATTCACCAGTCATGCTTTTTGATTCCTATGGGTCTCGCTAGTGAACTACATCCATGATAAAACAAAACATGCATGACCTATGATGGAGAAATGCTGCCTATAAGGGAGAAGCCTTTGCGAGGAAGAGTCTCTGCCTCATGTTTCCAAGGCATCCCACAAGCAGATGATATCCACAGGGATTTGGCACACTCTGCCCAGTCCCAATGGGTCCTTGCACCCCTCTTGCACCCAAACAGGACATCCAACTGCCCTTGACCCCTTGGGCCTTTTCTATGCTGCTCTACCCATGGCAAGGGGGAGTTTTCCCAGTCCAGATGGAAGTGGAACAGGAGCCACACATCTGGCCACAGGTCCATCTCTCACCCATATCAGAAGCACATATAGATGGGGAAGGTGGGTTGTTTATCCCACCCCATCAGCACTGTGCAGGGTGAATTGGCACTAAAGGGATGCAGAACAGTGCGGGAGGGGACCTGCTGGGATATATCCCTATGTGCTTTAACAGCACTGTGGACTCACAAAGTAGGAGCAGGGCAGGAGAGGGGGAGTTCACTCACAGGACCCAATAAATGACCCAATTCAGGCCATACACAGTGATTCTCCATCACAGGCACATCAGTGCTCCCATTGCACAAACATGGCTCTAAACTGCAATTGGCTTTTCCTCCCTCTGGAAGAGGTTTGCAGCCAACCTCTGGCCCAGGTTTGGGACTGCAACATGACCAAAAAGCAGGCTTGGGTAGGAACGAGACTCAGTAACCCCAAAACACCGGTCCTGGGGTGATGCTGAGATGGAATTCCGCCTTAACCTGAAGTTAGTGAAGGAAATGGGAGCCTTTCCCCACATTCCATTGAGCTTTGAGACCTGAACGCATTGGATATGTGAGGAGAAAGGCTCTGTGTTGTGTCAGAGCTTCACAATGACAGAAACTCTGCCAGCCTGCCACACAGAGCAGGATTCTCTCTGGAGAGGAGCACAGTCAATAATCACAGCTCCCAGCCTGGGAATTGCATCATTTGATGCCGAATCTGTTGGAAAACCCCCTCGTTTCATGCTACTTTTTCCCTGTAATGATGCAATGAATGCACTGAGCATTAACCCCCAAAGAGGGACACTGGGTTTGGTGGGATTAGTTATTTCCTCACCGCATTTTTACACGAGCGAGGGAGATGGCACAAAGGGCTCTTGTTCTGCATTTTATTTGGCTCATAAGGAAACAGATCCCTGAACCTTAGAAAGCCAACATTTATTATTCCTCCCTAAGACAACACGCACCCCAGTGCTCTTTATGCAAAGGAATAGGCCAGACCTTGTGGGCATTTAGAGGAGCAGCACTTCCCCAGAGAAAACAACATACCTCCTGCAATCCCAGCATCCCCATTCAGCCAAGGACTGCTGCTTCCCTGCTCACACACGTGGTAGTGGGAGAGAGGAAAAGGATCCTGAAATGAACGTATTCCCCTGGATGCTTTTGATGTCTGCAGGAAGATGATGCTGCTTCATACAGCGCGCCTTCCTCGTGTGTGCGTTTTGCAGCCTGGATGGGACAAACCACCTCAAATTGCACCTGAAATGAAAGGATCCGAATGGAAAAAGCAATCAGAACAGCAATATGTCTCGAGAGCTTTCCTTTCTCTTGTTTTCTTCCTTCTGTTTGGCCTTCTGGGTCCCTCTTAACCAGGGCAGTAGACGTGTCTCGGCTACCTGCAAGCCTATGGAGGGCCAGCAACCTCCTCCTGCTCCCTTGTCTGCAGGAGGTGTGAGTCTGGGATACATCCCATGCACTCATCCTGCTTCTGGCATCCCTTTGCAAGGAGCAGGTGACAAGTCCTCCATCCTACCTGTGATCCCATCTCTCCCAGTGCATCACCTCCAGCTCTGGCCGGCGAGTGCTCCTTCACGCTGCCAGGACCAGGGTCCTGCAGCTCCACCAGCATGGGAGATCCCATGGCCCCCATCCCATCCCATCCCACCGGGAGCATCCCTGCCCTGGCCATAGAGACCCCCCCCCCACACCTCTGCAGCCTGATGCTGTTTCCCACCAGGCTGAGGCCACCAAACTCATTGCACTTGTGTTTTTAGAGCAGAGAAAAGCTCTTTTGAAGAGGTGCAGAAGGGCACAACTCACCCCATTGGGGCTGAAGAGCCTCGGGGCACCCCAGGGACCTGCTCCCTGAAGGCAGGAGGGTGACACTTAGGGGATGTCCCCACTTAGGCACCGTGTTTGCAGCCACAGCACCAGGCAGTGCACAAATCCCAGTGCCAGCAATGGTTAAGGAGTGATTCATTGGAGTAAATTAAAAGCAAAGCACAAGACAGGCCAACAATAGGGATGAAATGCAGTATGTGGTTATGTCCTCCTCCAACAAGATGTTTCCACAAACCAAGCCATGGCGTGCTTGGTTTGCAGAGGGAAAACCAAGGAGTTTTCAACAAGCAACTCTCTTTATCCTTGCTCCAGAACTGGTAAGGAAAGGCGGGGGAAAGGCAAAATGCCTCTCAAGCCAAGATATCCCGAATTTCAGATGCTGGTCTATGGAAAGCTAATAATCCAACTGATGATTATTAAAGCCTGCAGCACAGAGCTCTAATAGATACGTTGCATACTCCAAATAGGTCTTTTAAATAGGCAGGGTTTGCACTTAGCCAAGCGCTTGAAGGCTGCTGAACGATCCACGTTCCGTATTAAAGGAAGCTATTTGGATGTGGGAACACAAGGCACCGAGGTGCATGAGGGGGGTCTCCCCATCGCAACGACTCAGACTGGTGCTGTGGGGTGATTGGGTTGGGGGGGGGGCACACAGAACCCCAACACCCATTGACCCCTAAACCACGGGTTTGGCATCTTGTATTAAGACAAAGTGGGGCAAGAGGCTGATTCGGGGTGGGGGGGGAAGATCCCATAATAAACTGATTTTCGCGGTGGGGGGGGACACACAGCACCAAGATCCCCATCCTGCTGCTATTGGGACACGAACACCCCCCCCCTCCCCCAGGGTCGGGTCACAAAGCCCCAAAGGGAGGTCCCGGGTACACAACGTGGGGGGGGTCCCGACCCTTCCTAACCCGTTCAACCGGTGCGGTCCGGCCGTGGGGGGGGGTGCCGGTAGGAGGCGGCGTTGCGCTGGGTCCCGCAGGCCGGCAGCCACCGCCCCCTCTTCCTCCTCCTCCTCCTCCTCCTCCCGGTGGCTCCCGCCGCCCTCCCCGCAGCGGGGCGGGGTTTTCCCATGGCGGGGAGCCGGGAGCGCGCTGGCACGTGCTCCGGCGGGAAGCGCGGGGGGGTGAATGGGGCCGCGCGCACACGCACACACACGGGAGGCACGAGCGCCGCCGCCCGCCTGATTGACAGCGGCGGAGGCCGCCAGCCAATGAGAGCAGAGAACCGACGGCGGCCCCGCCCCGCCTCGCGTGCCGCCGCGCCACCGGCAGCACCCGCGCACCGCCGCCCTCCGCAGCCGCGGGGCTCCGGTGCCGCCACCACCCCCCCCCCCCCCCCACACACACACAACCGGAGGGGTGCGGGGGTCGCAAGCAACGGGGGGGGGGGGGGGGAGCCACAAGGGACGGTGTGACCGGACCACCGGGATGTGCTCGGTAGCACCGGGATCCCCTTGGTCTAAAGTGCCAGGGACGGCTGGGCTCCCTTCGCTGCTGCACCCCGTACCACCGGGATTCATTCGCTCCGCTGCACCCGGTACCACCGGGCTGCCCTATCTCTGCTTTACCCGGTACCACCAGGCTCCCTTCACTGCTGTACCCGGTACCACCGGGCTCCCTTCACTGCTGCACCCGGTACCACCGGGCTCCCTTCACTGCTGTACCCGGTACCACCGGGCTCCCTTCACTGCTGTACCCGGTACCACCGGGCTCCCTTCACTGCTGTACCCGGTACCACCGGGCTGCCTTCACTGCTGTACCCGGTACCACCGGGCTCCCTTCACTGCTGTACCCGGTACCACCGGGCTGCCTTCACTGCTGTACCCGGTACCACCGGGCTGCCCTGTCTCTGCTGTACCCGGTACCACCAGGCTCCCTTCACTGCTGTACCCGGTACCACCGGGCTCCCTTCACTGCTGTACCCAGTACCACCAGGCTCCCTTCACTGCTGTACCCGGTACCACCGGGCTCCCTTCACTGCTGTACCCGGTACCACCGGGCTCCCTTCACTGCTGTACCCGGTACCACCGGGCTCCCTTCACTGCTGTACCCGGTACCACCGGGCTGCCCTGTCTCTGCTGTACCCGGTACCACCGGGCTCCCTTCACTGCTGTACCCGGTACCACCGGGCTCCCTTCACTGCTGTGCCCGGTACCACCGGGCTCCCTTCACTGCTGCACCCGGTACCACGGGGCTGCCCTGTCTCTGCTGCACCCAACGTCTCCGGTTGGGGCACAACACGGGGTGTGGGGTGGGGGGGGAGCCCCCAATGGGAAGCGGCGCTTTCCCGTCCCCCTCTTGTCCGTCCCCGTCCCCCCCCCCTCCGCCGCCACCACGTGGCCACGCGCCGGGGCGGGGCGGGGCTGACTCCGCGGCAAGACGGACAGGCGGCGGCCCCACCGGCCAATAGCAACGCCGGTAAAGCCGCGTCCTGGCCTTAAACCGGTCTCTGATTGGTTACCCGGGGAGTGTGGGAACGGCCGCGGCGGCGGTTTCACACGAATGGGGAGCCGCCGCCGGCCGCTATAAAAGGCGGGGGGGGCGCCCCGCCACACGCACTCCGCGCGCGCCCCGCCGCACGCGCCCTCCCGCCACCGCCGCACGCGCCTTCCCGCCACCACCACCGCGCCATGCCCGCCGATACGGGTATGGAGAAGCCGACCGCGTCCCCCATCGCCGGCGCCCCGGCCAGCGCCAGCCACACACCGGACAAGCCGCGGAGCGCCAGCGAGCACCGGAAGGTAAATGGCGGGTGCCGGTTGGGAAGCAGCAACGGTGGCGGAGGCGCTGGATGGCGGCGAACCCGCGGCCGTGCTGAGGTCGGTGTCGGGGTTGAGGTTTGGAGGGTGGGGAAATGGGATGGGTGAAGGGAAGCTTACCGGGACCGGTCTCCCCGCAGTCATCCAAGCCTATCATGGAGAAGCGGCGCCGGGCGCGGATCAACGAGAGCTTGGGGCAGCTGAAGACGCTCATCCTGGATGCGCTGAAGAAGGATGTAAGTGGGAGCAGGGGCGCTTTTGGGGCTCTAAGGGTCTGCGTGTGGCGGGGGGGGGGGGTGGGGGGTGGTGGTTTGGGAATCAGCCCTCACGGCACCGCTCTCCCTCCGCAGAGCTCCCGGCACTCCAAGCTGGAAAAAGCAGACATCCTGGAGATGACGGTCAAGCACCTCCGGAACCTGCAGCGGGCCCAGATGACGGGTAAGTTGTGGGGCTCACGGTTAGGGGGAGCGGGGTGCTCGACTTGGCCGCTTACCCACCGCCCCTGTGCCCCGCAGCAGCGCTCAGCGCCGACCCCACCGTCCTGGGCAAGTACCGGGCTGGATTCAACGAGTGCATGAACGAGGTGACCCGGTTCCTATCCACCTGCGAAGGGGTGAACACGGACGTGCGTACCCGCCTGCTCAGCCACCTCTCGGCTTGCCTGGGTCAGATCGTGGCCATGAACTACCCACCACCGCCTCCACCACCGCCGCCTCCAGCCAGCCAGACCGCACATCTGGCACAGCAGCCCCTGCACGTCCAGCTGCCCCCCGCAGCAGCCGGAGCAGTGCCCGTGCCCTGCAAGCTGAACCCTGCCGAAGCCCTGTCCCCCAAAGTCTATGGGGGCTTCCAGCTCGTCCCTGCTACCGACGGCCAGTTTGCTTTCCTCATCCCGAATCCAGCTTTTCCTCCCAGTTCCGGACCTGTTATTCCCTTGTACGCCAACACCAACGTCCCCGTGTCCGCAGGCAGCGGGTCGGGAAACGCATCCGCCACCCCATCAGCATCCCCCGTGCAGGGGTTGACATCATTTGGGGGCAGCATTGTTCCAGCATCCCAGGCGGGAAGTCCCGTTGGAGAGCGCAGTGAATCCGTGTGGAGACCTTGGTGACTTGCCTAAACCGATCCCCATTCCCTAAGAAAAAAACCCAACAAACTCTTCCGTTGGCTCCGTTGTATGGAGCCCCCTTGGGGTGTTTTTTTAAGCAGCTTGAAACAGAAAGGAAGGAAAAGGACCTCGCTATGAACCTGCTATTTATTCTATTCAGAGGTTGGGATCTCGACTTGTATTTTTACTCCTTTAAAATGCCTTTATTTGAGATACTTTCTTTTTTTTTTTTTTTCTAAAATAAAGATTAAAAAGTGAGAAATAGTTTTGTAACAGATATTCAAAAGTCTAATGCCAAAGTTGTTTGTATCCTGTTTGTCTGTGCGTGTGTGTGTGCCTGTGGTAAAGACCTCCAAAAACCAAGAGAAATGCAGGTGTTTAAATAAATAAACTCGTTGAAATAGATGGTTTTTTTTTTTCCCCCATTTCCTTTTTGGTGGGTGAAAGGGGCAAGCTCAACCTAAAAACTGTGAGGTTTATGGCTTTAATAAGGGGGGAAAGGTGCTGGGGTTGAGGGGGGTTAAATGGCTCCTGAGAGCTTTGCAAGTGTCATGTTCCCACTCGGAAGAAAGAGATTCCTTAAAACCTCTGCTCCTGGAACCTGAGGAATTGTGCTGCTTGCTACCTGCTCCGATTGCTCCCGCAATAATGCTGCCACAGGGATTGCGTTAGGGAGGGAGAGGAGGGGGGGAATGAGCACAAAAGTTACTATCTCGCCTACAAAAGAGGCAAGAGAGTCTGTCCCTATTGTGAGGAGGGTAATTAGAAGGTATAAAGGGTCTCATCGAGTATGCAGCGGGCTCTTTGGGAAGTTGGGAACCCTATTGAAACGCCTGGGAACCGGGAGCCGAGGGTTAATGTGTGTCTTTTTTTCCCCTTGCCACTCTCATTGACAGGGCCAGATAGACTCTGATACTCAATGCTGTTGTAAATTCAATTGCCTGGCCTCACAATGCCTACCTCATAAAAGAGAATAACTCGGGGTTGTGGCTTTTTCTTTCCTCTCCAGTAAGCAAGGGGGCTGAGGAAAAGACAGTTTTGCCACCCATTCTGACTCACCCCCAGTGCTTGAATCCTGGCCAAGTGGAAGCAATTGCAGCCTCACACACACACACACACACATGGAATGAACCGCTTCCAATTGTCACCAATTAATAAGGCCGTGGGGTGGGGAAAGAGCCATTAAGAGTGAATGCACGCTATGGAAGGGAAAGCTTTGTGTGCTGTGCTCCGAAATGATGAGGTGGGGCTATCATGTAATCTGCCAGAGCAAAGCCAGCAGACACATGTGCGTGCCAAAGCCACATCCAGAGGCATAACCCATCTTGGCTGGGCTCCTTCCAGCCTCCAGGCTGTGGGATCCCCATAGGCAAAGCTGATTTCTCCTGCCTCATCCCCAAGACTTTAGGCTTTTTCTGGTGGGAGCAGCAGCGTTTCATGAAGATGAAGAGCATCCAATACATGCAGCAGGCCCAGGGATTACTTCTTTTTAGCATCATAGAATCACAGAGTGGTTTGGGTTACAAGGGACCTTAAGGATCCTCCGGTTCCAACCCATGGGCAGGGACCCCTTCCACTAGAGCAGGGTGCTCCAAGCCCCTGTGTCCAACCTGGCCTTGAGCACTGCCAGGGATGGGGCAGCCGCAGCTTCTCTGGGCACCCTGTGCCAGCACCCCAGCACCCTCACAGGGGAGAACTTCCTTATATCCAACCTCAATCTCCCCTGTTTCAATTTGAGCACGGAAATGCAATTGCATCTTCCAAGGTCTACTTCTGTTAGCAATGTTCTATGAGAACATGGTGTTGTGTATGTGTGTTAAAGCACATTTATCCCCTTCGGAAGGCGTTTTACACCTTTGTGCTATTTCAGTCGCTGTTAGATACAGGACCTCAGGCTGCTCGGAGCCTGATACCGATCCAGCCCAGCAATTCCCCTGCATCATGGGCAATGGATGAGTGCTGAGCGCTCTCCATCCCACCACCAGCACTACGTATCCGTTTGAATCAGGAGGTTCCCAGGAGGTTTTGTTATGCAATCACAGACATAAAAATCATGTTACAGCAATTCTCCATCCCCCACAGCCCGTTGCTACCCCTCCTCTTCTGTCTGAAGAAGGCTTGGAAGAGCAGATGAAAGCCTGCCCGTGCCTGCCTGTAACTATATCCCTCCCCTGGGCACCACCGTGTCTCTGGATGTGCTCCTCACTGCCCATTCTCTAACCCCCCCCCCCCCCAGGATCACCCCTAGGTCCAGCACACCTATTGATGAGATACCCAGGCTGCAGTGCTGGATTCAGGCATGGAATAAACCCCCTTCCCTGAGTGGGTGCCCAGTGATTGCAGCAGTGCAAACACAACATGCACCACGGCGTTCCTGGGGGACATGCATCTCCCAGCACGCCAGGCAGTCATTCACTGCTCTGCCTCTGAAGCGAGGCCCTGAATGCAAGCACATGAGGGTACCACCATCGTTTCAGCCTCCATCTAAACACTGCGTGGCCCCAGCACCCTAGTTTTATGTCCAGCATTGCAACCTGCTCTCTTTTTGAGAGAGACTTGTCTGTGCTTAGGTACAGGGGTACACAAGCTGGGCATGAGGTGCATGGTGCCAACAAACTCCCATGCCAGAAGCTCAAAATCCATCCGAGGGATGCCTCCATACAGCATACATACAACATACAGCTTTAAAAGAGAGAATCATAGAATAGTGAGGGTTGGAAAGGACCTTAAGATCCTCATTCAATCACTGCCTGCTCTCAGGTTATACCCAGACACAGCTGCACTTCTAGCTCTACCAGGCTATTCCTCTACAACCGAGGGGCTGCCACATTCTTTCAGGGCTTTCTATACAGCTGCTTTTCCATGTTGTGCTAAATTTGGTCTTATCCCTTTAAAGGGGCAGTAAAAGAGCAAAGTTTGCTGCTGCTGCGAGGTAAAAGTCCAAAGGGATGGACACAGCGCCAGAGCGATAATGGGTAGGCAGAGTGCAGCAGCCCATGGGTGCAATGGAATGGCCTGGGTGTGGTGGAGCCAGGCGAGATGGGAGGAAGACAGTGGTGAAACCCAGCCCGTGATGCCTCCTTCATTTGAACTGCAAGAGCTCCAAGGGAAGAGATAATGGGAATGCTGCTAACTAGCCATTTCCTGACACGAGGCTAAACAGAGCAGGGAATTCAGTTCAAGCCTCAAAACTATGTGAAATGTGTATGGGTAGCTGAGCTCTGCCTCCACAGCCCTGTGGCCCCAACAGGCATCCCCTGAGGAGCACTGGTTGGTGCAAGGAAAGAAGCAAATCCCCTTCCAGCTTCCGAGCTGGCCCAGTTCACCAGCCACATAGAACCACCTGGGGAAAGCACCTGAGGCATTGGCTGAAGTCTTTTTCCCTTCCCATATCCCACCCTGGTGCCTTTGCCTTCCTCTGCTTAGGAGTTTCCTGGAGCTTAAGTGTCCCAGGGTTATCCTGCAGGCTGCCTCACACAGCTGCTTCCTTGCCCTCTGCCTCCAGCTACATCTCACGCTGCTGCTTCACTGTTGTGATGCTCAACTGAGCGATGCAGCCTGCAGCGAGCATAGAAGCCAGGGAAAGGGGAGGCAAAGCCTCCGTGGGGTCTTCCCCCATCCCAGTCCATTGCCAGCCTCCTGGAAGGTGGCATGGGGCTGCTTTAGGGGTTTGCATTTTGGAGGGGTGGGGTTGTATTCCAAAGCCAGAGAGGGAGACGAGCGCATCCCTGACCCCCTCAACCCAGCGCGACCGAGGCAGGGATGCCGGCACACACCGCCTTATCCTTTCGGCTGGTGCATCCCAGAGACCCTCTGAGGAGAGGGAGCTCTTCCCCGTGGCTCAATGGCTGCAGCCAGATTTACTCAGGCTGTTAAGCTGATTAATTGAAATGAAGTTCCTCCAGAGAATCGGCGTGTTCTTTGGGGTCAGGGTCACAACACTGAGACGCTTAATCAGATCTTTCCATTTAGCCCCTCTTAGGCAGGCTGGAATGCAGGCTCCTTTCAAAGCAAGGCGCTTGGCGCCAAATTTCTGCTCTGCTATCTTGCCTCTTCCATTACATTTAACCAGCACATCCATCATTATGAAATAAAACCCAACGCTCCAAATCCAGCTCAGGTGATCGTCCCGCAATCAAAGCCGGGAAGGAAGAAAACCCAACGCAAGCTTGCTCTTGCTGTTGTTTCAAACAGCCACGCAGAGTGGGGAGGAAAGGGTAACTGTCACTCTGAGCCAGGCCTTTCGGAGGAAGGGGGCAGATGTTTCTGTGTGGATAACAAATTCCTTTATCTGACTGAAGCATTTCTCTGGGGAAGGTGGAGGAGGTTATTATAAGGTTACCCTGGACTATTGTTAAAGAAAGGGTTTGTTCATTGCAATTCAAGAGCCCATCATATTACCCGCAGATAAATCACTCCTGCATGGCTAGGGAACAGCTCTTATGCAACACACAAGGCAGATCCCACACGCATTAAAGGCACTGAAAGCTTGTCCATTGTAGACCTGATCAGGCAGAAGTTAGCATAGCCGATCAGCACATACGCTCCTTCGGTCCTAACTCAGTCCCTCTAAGCAGAAGGATGTTTCTTACAACTGGAAGCACTGATTGAAATGGATGTAATTGTTCCTAGTTCTTTATTCTATCAGATAATTTGGGGCCAGTATCTACATTTCACTGTATAGTAAGATGTTTGTCATTTCAGTGGCAGGATTAGGAGTGCAATATATGTGCAATCGCAGTGCTGCATAAGCAACTAAAGAACACCACACACACCCCCCCCTTGGTAATGCTTGGCTTATATGGGGGGATTGCTCCCAAACCAAACCCTTTCCCATTCACTACTCTCAAGTCCAGGACAACAGGCACAAAGTGTAGTTGCAGACACCTACGAGTTGATAAAGATACCAGGCCCCACCAGGCTCTGCACAAGCTATCAGGGCTTTAGGGAAGTCAGGTTAAGAACCGCTGAGTTTTGCTCTTTAAAAATCAGCCTCTTTAAAGCACCTTTAACTAAACAGCAGCATAAAAAGTGTCAGTCCTTGACCATAGAATCATCCCAGACCGGTTTGGGTTGGAAGGGACCTTAAAGCTCATCCAGTTCCACGGGCAGGGACCCCTTCCACTAGAGCAGCTTGCTCCAAGCCCCTGTGTCCAACCTGGCCTTGAGCACTGCCAGGGATGGGGCAGCCACAGCTTCTCTGGGCACCCTGTGCCAGTGCCTCAGCATCCTTAGTTTAAAGCCATTCCCCCTTGTCCTGTCCCTACTTGCTCTTGTAGAAAGGTTCCAGTCCTTGGTGTGTTTAAAGCCTCAACAGTTGATTTTCAGCATAAAGATCCATGGTGCATCCCCACTTCATTCCAGCAAACAATCCACATCTGTCTTTGCCTCCCCTTTGGTTTCTG